ACTGACCAAAATTTCTTGATTTAGTAAACAGTGTAAACGTTTTTTGAGCTGGTCTTTTTTCCAAGTAACTATAAGTCCTACTTAAACCAAACGTGCATGGATATTGATCTTGGGATGTACACTAACTAGAAAAAAAAATATGATGTGAGATTTGCCTTACTTATAGATAACATTCGTCAAGGTGAGCTTTGTAATCTTTGGTTACCTATGTTTGAAATTCTTGCTTCGTCTATCAGTTAATTCTGTTTTATACTTCCAGGGATCTTTTACAGTGTTGTATTTTACCCCACCTCTGTTGATTTTTCGATGAAATACTGGCTTACGATTGGTTGAAGTCTGTCACGTGAAGGGGGTGTATTACTTATACCTAGTCGCTTGAGAATCAGTACATGGTCGATACGGAGTTATCGTTCTTTTGTAACGTTCAAACAACTCGAGTTCACGCGATTTGCCGAGTGTCTGTTGACAATGTTACAGTTAACTAATGAAAGTAACGAAGATGGAACCTTTCTCTCCTTTTACTGAAAGTTTTCAAAACTGTCAGTACGTTATTACAGCACGAAACACTCGCAAAACAACATTACGTCACACAACGTGACGTCATAATAGGCATTATATGAGTGATGAAACATATATATAGTAAGAAAAACAATTTTACAAACCACAGACAATGCATAAATATTTTATCGGTGGGGTAAATTCGTTACATAGTTTTGTAGTGACAGGGTACGGGATGATACCTGGTTAGTAAATTCCATACCTGGCTCGGCTTCGCCTCGCCAGGTATGAAATTTACTAACCAGGTATCATCCCATACCTTGTCACTAAAAAACTATGTAACTAATATACTCTGGTGACCGTTAAGGCCCTTGGGCCTCTTGTTCATTTGTATTATATAATTTTTATTGTATAATTTTTCATTTGTATTGTATCCGCAGATTGTTTATTTGTTTAGTTACGAAGGATTTCATTTGTCAAGTTTAACCTGTATCGGGTTGAAAACGAGCGAGATGTTCCGGGTGCTCAAAGCGCTGGCAGATGGCAAATAAATATATAAATGAACCTTGAGTGGTGGTACCTACCCCCACCCCCTAATAAACTGAGTTTTCAGGTTTGGGCAGATTTTCTTCTTTGCCTTCTTCTCCTTGTCTCTGGTCACATTGGAAATAAATATTTTCTCCTGCGAGAGAATGAAAATAATCGGATTCGACAAATTTTGCCCCCCCCCCCGAATCAAATGGTCGTCCCTTAGCATGCACGCAAATAGAGGAGCCCAGTTTGTGTTTGAAGAGAGAGCGCGAACGGAATTGGGGGAAGGGTTCCAGACTAAGTTTGTGTTGGGCACTTGAAACATCTCGCTTGTTTAACACTTTATACAGACTAATAACTAATGAAATCCTTCGTAATGAAATAAATAAACAATCCTCTGATACAATACAAATAAAAAATTATCGCATACAAATAAGATATTTAAGAAATAAACAACAATGTTAAAAAGTTCTCTGGGAAATGAACTTGGTTGGTCACGTGATCAAATCCTGTGAAGCCCGAAGGGCTTCTCAGAAGATTTGATCACGTACCAACCAAGTTCATTTCCCAGTGAACTTTTTAACATTGTTGTTTATTACTTTTATTTACATTTGAGACGAATATTCTGAGTAGAACTGCATTTATTACACAAACGGCCCGCCGTATTGCTATGTTGTGACGCGCAATGACCTAGAAGCTGTTTGTTCTTCAGAGTTCGCCTCGCTCCAACATTTGAATATTTACATGGATGTTAAGCCGTCCAGTTCAGGAAATAACTGTTCGTAATGTAAAAACAATGATCGCTACTGAGAATAATCTTACTATTATTGTATGAGTTCTTTATATATGAAGTCAAAAGCGGTGGTATATCGTCTTCAGTTTACATACCTTTAAAGGAATTTCGGGTTAAAAAGGTAAGCGTTATTTTAGGCTAATTATAAACATTCTTCACACCCAAGAAAGATATAATTATCATTTGTTGAACAAAAAAAATATATGTTTCAATAATTTTATCTTTTTCATCGCTTTAACGGCTCAGAAGTTCCGAAACAGTGTCACTGTGACAGAAATATGTAGACAAGATATCGTCTTGCTGTGTGATTCGGTCACGCCATGACCTCTGACCCCCTAATAAGTTCATACAGAATTGAACATATTTCCTCTTCAATAGGTTCATCTAAGAAAAATATTTGCAAATGTAAATAATATACAATACAAATAAGAAATTATACAATGCAAATGGAAAATATAGAATACAGATAAAAATTATATAATACAAATGATTTTTTTACAATACAAATGGAAAATTATACAATACAAATGAAAAATTATACAATACAATTGAAAAATCAAAAATACAAATAAAAATTATACAATACAAATGGAAAATTATACAATACAAATGGAAAAGATCGAATATTGCAACGTTTGACATGCCATAAATTTCACTTATCACAGTTATGGACAACTGGAAACTAAAATTGCAAAGAACTACAAAGGATAGTATTTTTTGTCGTCCACCTCCAAGTCATTTTTCAAAAGTTAACATAATTATTTGAATGATTTTTCACATTTATAGCGATATTTATGTGAATTTACATACAACACAAATGGTTTGGAATACCAAAGAGAGATAACTCTATAATTTTGGTAAAACTTGTTCTTTTCAGTATAGAAATCAACAAAAAATGGAAAATATTTTTAAAACATCTTTCCCCCCTTGAAACAAAAATTCCTTTTTACAGGTATTATGGAGTGTTGTTTCACATAATCATATCAAGGCTTTTTGTGTTTCACGAGGGGGAGGGAATATGTTTACAGTCCAAAAACAGCAAAATTGTCATTTTTTACCGATTTCAAATGAAATAACAAATTTTAAAATATGTATTTATCAATCTAGCTTATACATTGAATTTTACATAAGTTTAACATACAAAAAGATTTAAGGGTCATTTATCCATTTCCATGCATATTTGAAAATTTGGTGATGTTTTAAAGCTTGATTTCAATGGATAAAATTATCTATCTTGCACTGAAAAAATACTTTTCATGGATATATACATGTAGCTTGATAATGAGGAGTACTTCACCATTTATCAAAATTGAAAAATTTATGGCCCCCCTGGATATAGGGATGTAACAGAAAAAGAGAAAATGTATGGCTGGACCGGTAATTTAACACTGACCCCTGCATCACCAGTCAGGCACTCTACCAACTTAGCTATTCAGGGTTATGAGTATGGAACTAAAGTTGGTCTATATTAAAAACATAGTACGTCTTTACGAGTCCTCACCATATTGTAAAATTCCTATCACACAAATCCAGAATTCCAGTTCTTGGTGGGACTTAATTAGGGCCCCGCTCTGCGGGCGCCCTATAGTGATCAGTCTGTCCGTCCGTCCGTCCGTCTGTCCGTCCGAGATCTCTTGTCCGGAGCATATCTTCTCTCACCTTGGTCCAGTGTGACTCATACTTCACTCACAGAGTGCCACTGGTCAATGGATGTGCAGTGACCTTGAACAAAGTTTCTAGGTCAAGGGTCAAGGTCAAAAATAGCCTCTCTGGTTCGGAGCATATTTTCTGTCTCCTTGGCCCAATCTGGCTCATAGTTCACCCACAGAGTGTCTTTGGGTAAAGGGCATGCAGTGACCTTGAAGAACCATGTTTCTAGGTCTAAGGTCAAGGTCATAGAAGAATTATATATATGAAAAATCCTTGTCCAGATCATATCTTCTCTCCTCTTGGTCCAGTGTGGCTCATACTTCACTCACAGAGTGCCACTGGTCAATGGATGTGCAGTGATCTTGAACGAAGTTTCTAGGTCAAGGGTCAAGGTCAAAAATAGCCTCTCTGTTTAAAATCTTTGTTTGGTGCATGGTTTCTTTCTCTTATTAGTCTAGTTAGCCTCAAACTTTACCAATTGACGTAGGGTACAGAACATTTGTGAATTTCCTTCCATATTTTGATACATATGCAACAGTTTTCATAGAGGATATGCAACATTTGTGATTTTTGTGCCGCTTTTTGATAGAGGGTATGGAGCACTCGTGATTTTCATGCCATTTTTTATTATAACAAGGTTGACATAGAAGCCCTTTAGACTCAAACAACACATCCCTTAATAGTACACAAGTGTTCCTCTTCAAAATAAACCCTTTTCAGCTCCTTTACTTTTTCATGTTCCTTGCTGAAAGCGGGGCCCTTTGAGATGGCCACCATCTCAATGATATCTAGTTAGTAAGTCATATCAAGAAATATTTATGATACAGGGTCAGATGACTGTCTTACTACTTTCAGTCAATTCTACATGTACCTAGCTATAACCTGATGTAGTTGTACATTAACCATGGCGGATTTAAGGGGAGCCCCCCCCCCCCTTCCTTCTTAGATTGACAAATTTGAGTTAAATTATTGTCCAATCTTTGAAAAGAATTGAAAAGAAATAATTTTTTGGATAAAAGGATATGTGTAGTAAATAAAAGGATTTATTCTTATATTCATGGTAGGCAGAGCCTCTTTCTAGGTTTTGTTTCCATAAACCTTCAAATAGTACTAGTTTTATTGATTCTTATTAATTATGATGAAAAGAAATACATCTTGTAAAAAAGTTTTCTTAGAAGATTTAATTTTTGTCCATCTAAGTCTAAATCCAAGAGCTTTGGGGGGGGGGGGGGGGGCTGGGCCCTCAACAGGGCTTTGCCCTAGACTGTAAATAGATCAGTTTTGTTACAAGCATTCTCTATATCCTGTTACATGTATTGACATGATATGTACACTGACCTTTTGTTCCTTTGTCTCTGGTAACCTTAACTACTGAGTTCCTATAACCAATTGTACTGATGAATTAATGACATTTTTTCATACATGTAGTAAGTGGTCAGATTTACAAATTCCAGTATAATGCTGCACTACACTAAGTTTTACTGAAAACCATTCCTTCTAAATTTTATTTCTTATTTTTCATTTCCAGACAAGAAATGCCTTTCTTGAGCTTGTTAGTGATGCCCAGCATGATACAGGAATGAGTATCTCAGCACAGCAGAAAATGAAGGGGAAAGTGACCTACTAACTTTTGTCTCCTCTGTCAGAAACTCTGGAAGTGATATCATGAACATGGTACTGAAATTTTATGTAGGATTTAGTTTCAAGTTTTGCACCCAACTACATTTGCAAATGAAGCAGTGCAAAAGAGCATTTTTATGTAAATTTGATTTATAATGTACATATACAACAAAACATTAGTTCATACATGTTTTTAATTTTATTTTTATTTTTTTTTTTTTATTTATTTATTTTTTTTTTTTTTTTTTTTTTTTTGTTATTTAGATTTTGAAATGAAGAAACTTATGGTAAATTGCATTGTCTCTTTTATTGATGTTCAGATGAAATTTGATGTTGAAGAATACATGTACTATTATAGTTATATGTAACTTATTTGAATATAAACAAGCAAGATTTTTATTTATTATTTAAGTGGACAAAGTTTGCAAAGGCAACAAGAAAATGACTTAATGAATTGTGATACCGGTTGTCTGGTAACTTTTTAATATTTTTTTTTTCTTCTCCCAATATGATCTGGGGTCCGTCTTACAAAAGAACTTACGATGTAAAGGGTAAAGATACACATAAAGAACACTGATCGATCTCAAAAAATCCACAAAAATAAAAATATGTCAAGAGACCAAAAACTTTGTGATTGTAAAATCTAGCCCAATTAATGATTTTATTTTAAATTGCCTGCATAAATATATCTTTCTTTATTCATTTTAAAAAGATTAAAACCATTTTCACGTAAAAACGAAAGTTATTTGTAAAATTATATTTTGATCTTAGTCATAAGTTCTTTGTGAAACGGAGCCCAGATTCTGGCAGTGTAATATTTTTGCTTTGTATTATAAGTATACATGTATTTTGTTATAATATTATACTAATTTTTTTCATGATTTTGTGGTATTGTTCCCTTTAATATGCATGCATTTACTTATCGTAATTTTATTTCCGTCCGGTTTATTTGAAATAGTACTGAATTATATAAATGAAATAAATTAAAGAAATGTTTTCTTTTTTATTAATTGAATTAGATAAGACTTTATAAAATCTCAAAAACTCTAAATCACCGCAATACCAGACCAATTACAACTGTAGTTCATAGTTAAAGGCTCAAGTGCTGCTAAGTAAAGTCTGTCATTCATCCATATAGAATTAATGAAGTCATTCCAATTATTTTGTTTTAAAGAGTTCGCCTATTATAGAACAATTGACCTCCCTATCAATTATCAGTTCACAAAATTCGCACATATAAAGTAAAATAAAGTAGTATACATGTGCATTTATTATACACCTCTAATTAATTCAACAAATTCTCTTTAAATACTAGTATTGAAAGGAACAAAACTGAACAAAAGATTTTGTCCTTTTTGTTCATTCGGGATGTTTGCAACATATGCAATATTGAAAACATATTCCATATAAATATGTTTCAGCATTTCATTTTTCATCCGTCCTATTTTTGTCCCTTATTACTCTTGTAGCGTTTTTTTATTTCCTCTTACAGGCACGTACATGTAGTATCAGGGTGTGGGGCAGGTGCCTGTTCCCCTTTTTCTGAACTTATTTAGAACAAAAATGTTCATTAAAACGCCTGTTGCCGCCCCGTTTTTTTTTTTGTTGCAGTATGGTCAAATCCGTCTGTGTTAATGTATAAAAAAAATTTGGTTGTCTCGGGAAAAAGTTAAACCTCCCTCTCCCCCCTTCGTGTTTTCCTTGTGATAAGACATATCTTCGGGTACAAACATTTTTTACCTCATGATCTTGACCTTGGAATTGACCTACTTTTGAAAAAAAAACTTTAACTTTGGTCGTAACTTTTGAATGGCTGGTGCTAGGGCTTTCGTATTTCAATTATGTATTCCTTCTGACAAGACCTTTCTTTGGATACCAACATTTCTGACTCTTGGCCTTTGAGTTTGACTTACTTTTGAAAAACTTAAATTTTTTGACATAACTTTTGAATGATTAGTGTTAGGACTTTCATATTTCACATTTATATTTCTTGTGATAAGACCTCTCTTTTATACCAAATTTGACCTTGACCATACTTTCGTATTTAGCGCTTCACTTGATCATAATTTTTGAACAGTTGATGCTAGAGCTTTTTTATTGCATTTATGTATTCTTTGCGACTACACCGCTTTACAATAATAAGCCCAACTGACTGATATTCTAAGTCCGTATGATGTAATACTTATAATCATGTTTACACATCGTCAAGTGACGCACTGTTCATTGAAAAGAATGATGGTCATCTGAAATCGATGAAAGCGTCTTTGTTTCTCTCCTTGAGACGATCCCTGATAAGAGAACGGCTGTTACATTGTTTAATTGTGATGACGAGACAGAGATTTATCTACAGTTACAATTTATATGGAATGAAAACCTGCATCAGTATCCCAGTGATGGATATTCCAAGGATATAATTAAAAGTGGGTACTGTAAATTTTCTTATAGTAAAAATTTTTATGTGGTAAAACTTGTGTACACTTTTTTTCAAGGAAGGGGGTCTTCATCATTAAACATTGTCACTATCAAAGTTCGATATTTTGGAACTTTAGGGAAATATGAACTTGTTTAGATTTCTGTTATAATGTAAACTAAAAGGATTCATTTGTTTGGGTTTTCTCACCTTTGGGCAATGGACGGCAGCCTTTCAATGAATTCAGTTTTAGGAATATGTACATGTGTCTGTCGTCATTATACATTAAATGATCAATATTCGACGTAAGAGTAAATTATTTATTTTGGTCTGAAAAAATAAGATCCTAATAACTTCTCAGTTTACCAGCCTAGGGATATTTCGAATGTGCATGTAGATTTCGAGAAAAAAATAAGTTACTTTGAATCATACTTGCAATACTTTTTTTAAAATCTATATTTGTAATATCTATATTTTTGTAAAGCTGACTCTTTAGTCCATTTCGTACGTACTTAATTCTTTTTTTTTTCTGTTAGAGACCAGTAGGTGTAGGTTGAGGACATTTACTAGACATATCAGTTCTGATGCAAAGAATAAATTTTTATCACTTTAATTAAGGATTTATTTCTTTGACAACACTTTAACATACAGGGATACACTTCCATAGCGACAGAGTTTTAAGAGTTAGATGTATAATGTGTAAAAAGATAAAGGGTCTGTCTTTAGGTCCAAATTTGCTCATTTAAATGCGCTAGCGTACAAAATATTGCCTAATTGCGCCTGGGATCCATGAATATGCAATTCAAGCAATCTATATTTTACACATGTGCTTGTATAGACATAATAAACCGTGGAATCCGATGAAAGTAACATATGCGTCCATATCTAATCAGTCTTTATACTTTAATCCACAATTGTACCCTACTCCACCTTATCATCTATACAAGTTTTAGAGATGCCAACCCACTTTGAAAGTTAACGCACTTTGAAAAAAATGTGCACGGCTTGGTCAATATTCTTGCAAAGTTTAGATATGATAAATAATTATTTGAACTTGGTTGGATAACTTTTGTGATGCATTTTCCTTAGGGAAAAGGGAGCAATAGTTTGTTTGCTTATTGAAAATAATTTCCCCGCACAATATGTTGGTCTTCTTATAGTTATTTGATAAGTATTTAGAAGTATGAAAAATTATTCCCGCACAATATGATGGCCTTTTTAACTGTTATTTGATTAGTATTAAGAGGTATGAAAAAATTATTTATGCATTTACTGTATTTTTTTTTTATTGTATTTGATTTTGTAAAGCTACTTAGCCTTGTTCTCGATGAGGGAAGATCAATTCATCAGTTTTTCTAAAGAAATATGCACAACAAAATAATCATGTCTTTTACTAAAATCTAAGTCCAGATTTTTTGTTTTATACATATTTTTTCAAAGTGCGTTAAGTGTTTCCATGGTAAAAGATGTTGATTTACACTCTTAACACACTTGAAAAAAAATTCAGAGTGCGTTGATTTTGTCCCAAATTTAACGCACTTTGAAATTTTTTTCAAAGTGCGTTGATTTTGTCCCAATTTTAACTCTGAAATTTTTTTTCAAAATGCGTTGCCACAATGACATATTCGTATTTTATCTCCTTGACAAACATCTTAATCTACTTCATTTCATAATGCATAACAAGTAACATTCGAGGAAAGTATTTTGAGATTTTTTTTTTTTTTTTTTTTTTTTGAAAAGAAGATGGGTGAACATGACGAGCGAAAAGCCTATAGTGTGACAAATATGAAAGTGGAAAAATGAATCGCAATTATATCAAAATTTTCCTTGAAATTTCATCTAACATTAAAATATACTTTATGTAAAATCTCTACAATTTGTAAAAATCTCTCAAAGATTGAAATTTTTTGCCTATGAAATATTATACACACACTAAAGAGGGCAAAAAGAGTCATTTTCTCATACTATAACACCATTTTTCGATATGAGTGGGTCTTCGCTCCATTTTTTTGAAAGTTAACCCTCAAAGTTTGCATAAAAATATACATTTTTTGGTTACCAAAAAAATGGAGCAAAGACCCACTATACCTTAAAAATATACTTTTTTGACATAACATTCGCATCTTTTCGAGAAATACTTGAAGTCCATTAAGTCAAGGGTCATATCACAAACCTGATTTAAATGCCACTATTCATCAGGACCTGTGATCAGTCTAGTGGTTTGCGTGCTAGTCTCGAAAGAAAATGATACTCAGGATTTTTATTGCTAGGGTTCGAACCCCACAAATACCACATTAATTTTTAATAAAAGAATACATTTTACCGAGAAAATTGTCCTCAGAAAAGTTTTGTTTATCATAGTTTCATAAATTTCAATAATGAGAATATTACTCTAAATACTAAATTCACAAATTGAACATGGTTTTTATTTATTTGAAGCTATAGGCTTTCTGCACGCTGTGTTCACCCATCTCCTTTCATTCACATATACTGTTTCATTACTAAATGGACATGTCTACTACAGATCTTCAAAAAAAAAAACTTGTTACCGAAATCATTTCTAGCATTCTTATGAATGTATGAGTGAATCGGGAGACCCAATGAGAAGTAGGAATTTTACCGGATAGATTGCGTTTTTGATGTCTCTATTAGACTTATATAATAAATGGTCATTGAGGCCACAGGTAAGAAAGGTCAGACAGTTCATCTTTTAAGTGCACACCAGTCCAGTCTTCCGCTTTCTTGTGCAATTGACAGACTGCAATCAAGCGAAGAATGCGTATGCTAATTTGTCATATCCATTGTTTTACCTGGAAGCGCTTTCGACAATAAGTGAATGTATTAACATGAGAATAATCGAGACAGCTCCCTCATGTCTTCTGTATGATAATTAGATTATAATCGGATCTCTCAATTTTTAAATGACTTTCAAATGATAATTGGGGGAAAAAGATAATATCGAATTAATTAAGTGGAATATAATTCTTACAGTAATTGTCACTTGACAAAGACGAGAATGGAAGACGATCTTCTACCGAGGATCTGAAATCTGAATGTTTCTGTTTATCTGTAAAGAGAAAAAAATGACGTGAATTCAAAAGAATGAATAGGAACTTTAAAGGTAAGTCAAGTCTCATTTACATTACAGGAATATCCTGCAGTATTTAGCTCTTAGTTTGTATTTTATCATGAAAGAAATGCACACACACACACACACACACACACACACACATATATATATATATATATATATATATATATATATATATATATATATATATATATATATATATATATATATATATAAAGTTTAACTTACCCCAATATGAGATTATGATAACTTTATATACTAGTAATTAATTAATTGTGGGAGTATAACTTTGCTTACTTGTTATTAGTTGTAGTTAAAATTATACAATTATTGCTGTTTTGAGGTCCATACCTCAAAACAGCAATGATTGTTTTATTATATGATTCAATGATTAAATGATACAAACTCATTAAACAGTTCATGCCATCTTTCTTGAGGTTTACATTTGCTGAAGTCCTAGCCAAATGCAATGAACGAGACAGGAAAATCTACTTTAGTTGCTATGAAAAAAAAGAAATGTCAGGCTCTTTTGAAGGATCAATTTGAAAGGGGGGGGGGGACATTATCAGGGAAAACTGTCAGTTGAAAAAATCTTTGATTAGCCCCCATGAATTCTCTTAACTTCAAATTTTATTTTGGGGTTGAGGTGGGGTTAAGTGTTGTGGATTAAGGTCCATTAGTGGGGGACCACCCTTTCAATGGATATTTTAAGTTTTAGTTGAAGTAAAAATTTGCATTTAGAAAAAATTGTTTAGGTCCCCTGCCGCCCCCAACCACCCCACCCCAAAATTTATATATTTCCTTATGTTTTGTTCATCTGAGTCGAAGTCGGTAGCAAGTGAAATAGCTTTGCAAATCTTTTTGTATCAATTTGGAATTTCCCAATCTATTTTTAGACCAATGTAGAGAAAGTAAATCCTTATATTTACCTGGAAGTGGTATTTTTTCCTGCATTGTTGGATTTCGGCCAATCAGAGAGATCAGAATGTAACAATTAAACATTGTCAAATTTTTGGGACGCCCTGTCCCTTCCTCAGGACAAAGAAAAGTTAAGAAGTCATAAAAAATAAAACAGAAAATCAACGTCTATGATACACTCAACCCTATTGACTGTAGACCAGGACAATTTTACTTGCTTCCAAAGTTACACAAATAAGGTATGCCAAGTCGCCCTATGGTTAGCGTAATCGGATACCCCACGGAGAAAATTTCCGAGTATATTGATTTACATTTAGTCCGCATGTAGAAACTTTCCATCCTATCTCAAAGACACCACAAACTATATAAACAAGACGCCCTCCACTGATCTTCCAAATCATACCCTTCTTGTGACTATGGTTGTTACATCACTGTACACAAGCATCCCGCATGATGAAGGTATTGAGGCCTGTAAATAAGTCTGGGACAGAAGATCTATACCAATTCCTTCTACCGAGTCCATCGTCAAGCTCTTTGAACATGTTCTCAAGTATAACTATTTCATGTTTAATGGAGAACATTACCTGCAAGTCAATGACAAAGCGCAACCAGCTAAGGGGCCTAAACGGTACCTTAAGTAATTGGTTGCGTTCAAGTCTGCCCATGAATATATTGGTATATGATGGGGCCATTTAAGTGCCCATATCCAATTCCAAAAAGTATTCTTGGATACTACATCTACCCTGATTTATGGCAAAATTGAGTTCAGTCTACACACGAAACCCACTGATATCCACCAGTATCTCATGCTGACAAGCAGTCATCCCCCACACATTCAAAGGTGTGCCTAAGGGTTTAGCCTCCAGAATCCGCCGCATCTGTTCATCCTCTGCTTCGTACCAGGAAGAGAGCAATCTCCTAAAGTCCCATTTATGCAAGAGAGGCTACAAAGCCCATACCGTACAAACTGCTATTGATGAAATGGCAGGACACGACAGACAAGACAAAACCTTTACAATACAAAAAGAAAAACAGTAGCAGCAGGGTTCCACTGTTAACCACATACCATCCTGTCCTTAAGAAATTCAACGATGTTCTTAAAAAGAACCCCCCAATTCTTTATTCCAACAAAAGAATGACCGAGATCTTTAAGGAACCTCCATTGCCTGCCCAAGGAACTTGAAGGATATGGTAGTAAGAAAACCAAATTGGACAACCCATTACATAAAGAGGTTTTGAAACTTGTTCTGACAAAAGATGTCTTATCTGTAAGCATATCTCTGACACAGTTTTAACAGCCCGGTAACAGGCCGCAGCTACAGAATATTATGGAACTTGTTCTGTCAAATAGATAACTTCATCTACCTCATCAGCTGCAAGGTATGTCAAAAGCAGTATGTTGGGGAAACGGGAGATCTCCGCAGAAGAATCAATAATCACCACTCGACCATTAAGACCAAGAAAATCAATGAACCAGTTGGGGAACATTTCAACATCGAAGGTCACAAATGGGAGGACATGACAGTAGTGGTTATTGACCATAACCCAAGATGGACAAACTCTCGGAGAAAAAGCAAGGAAAAGTTCTGGATGTACAGACTGAAGTCATTCCGCGCTAATGGTATTAACAAACTAAATGACTTCACCAGGATGAACGGGAACTAGATCCCATTCCTGATTGTGACAAGCAAGACCATTCTCTCCATTTAGTGTAAACTTTAAAGTTAATTCGCATTATCAATTCTGGAACGACACACACACATCTCTATTGCTTACATTTTTGCTTATTATTTCTTTTATCCGATAAACAGTCCTAAAAACAATTTTCAAATTTATAAAAGATCTTAATTCATATTTTAGAATTTCCCTTCTATATTATCTTTCTTTGTTTTCTTTTTATTATGTAAAGTTTCGCAATTTGAGGGAATAAGACAGTGTACGATTTACTACTTGGTCGTAATTAATTAGCGATAATTAATTCGTTCAATTACGTAAATCGCACTTTTTATACCCGACAGACCGGACGTATTTTATAGAGGTCCGGATTTCTTTCTTAACTATTGGTTATAAACTTTCAAATTAAACATGTAACATTGTAAATATATAGTGTTTGGTACTTTAGTTGTAGTGCTAGTTGTTTTCTTTGTTTTTCTATTTACTTTGTTGTCTGACATTTTTCTTTGTCCTGAGGAAGGGACTGGGTATCCCGAAAATTTCACAATTTTTAATTGTTCGTGTCATTGATCATTTTTAGTGCTTTATCTAAAATTCAATCCTTGCAGTTGACCTTGTATCCATTTAATAGATCCGACACATACAATGAAGCGCATTCAAGTGGTAAAATGTTCCGTTTTAGTGAAAAGTTTCGGTGTTTCTTATCGAACGTCAATTGCTACAGATGACACGACCATTTCTTTAGAACGGGAAAGAAATATTCGTCGTAATGCTTAAGAACACCCCACTCTCTGCGACTAGCAACAAGAGTTTCACTGAAATGGAGATTTTATAAAGTTAGAAGAGAGAGAGAGTTACAGACTTCGCTTCTGTAAAACACGTATTGCAACGAATATGTACATAATTGTGAATTTGTTTACTAAAGTTACCACATTTATCGGTCGAACACGCGTTTACTCGGTATCTTTGTAGACTGCAAATTTGACTGGCTATTATATTTAACCACAGGTATTCGAATGAACCATAATGATTTTACTGTTGTTTTTCCTTTCTAAGGAAATAGGCTTGTCATTATTTGACAATCAACATTCTAAATAAAGCTTAGAAGGTTCCATTCAAACGGAGAATTTTACCACTTCAATGCGCTTTATTGTAGGATATACAGTGTTGTTGGTTTTCTAGTGTTTAATATATATATATATATATATATATATATATATATATATATATATATATATATATATATATATATATATATATATATATATATATATATATATATAAAAATTTTTATTTGCTACATAAGAATATTTAAGCTTAAGTTTTGACTGAATTTTTCCGAAAGATTTTTCTATAGGTTAAAAATGCTTTATGCATTTCTGTATTGAGTCAATTTTCTAAAAAGTGTACCCTGACAATTATGTACATAAACATAATGTTATACGAATGAACACTGTAATGAAGACGATCATTATTAATAATGCCACGCTTGGCACTAGATGGATTATATACCCAACTGTTTGTCACTCAGGTTACTGTTGAATTTATGCAATCACGTGACGGTGTGATCCGACATTCCGGATCACCATACTGTGGTTTTCTGAATCCATATCACCCCTCTCTGAAACTGATGACGTAGTACACAGATAAATGACGATTTTATTCTCGCACATCAAAAAGTTCCATAACAAACTGGTTTGTTTAATGGATAAAAGTTATGTTATTGATCCAAAAAGTTTCTTTTATTATATTTTGCTAGTTGTTAAGGGGTATATAATAAATTTATCATTATAACAGTAACTTGATCCGAAGAGCCGTATCACGTCTCGTTGACAGGCGCGGATCATCAGATCAAACTCGACGCACTTGACGTGATACGGCTCTTCGGATCAAGTTACTGTTATTATAATATTTATTTATTTATTGCTGCTTGGAGAGTAGTAATCATTCATGCCTGAGTCTAGAATACACATTATATGTCATTTTTAGGAACCCCAATTACAAGAAATACGGTTACTGAACCAAAAAAAAACTTGAGGTACTGTGAGCACTGAGCTCACAAAATGATACCTCCCCGACCACCTCCCATATGATCATAATGGCAGAGTCCATTTTTGCTACGGAAAGCCCAAACATCTGCCTGATCAAAACATATGTAGGAGGTGTACAATGGCACTACCTAATAAAGATTCTGTGAAAGTATCATTAAATTTGGCATAGGAGAAGTTGTGGGTAAGAAATGAGTACCCTCAGTATTATAACAATGATATTTTGTCAGCAAGTTAAAACTTGTCTAAATTAAAATCATTCAATAGTTTAAAAGAAATATTACCACTATAAAAATTTCTGATGTGAAATGTTCACCCCGGTTTTAACATTGTTTCATAGTCTGTCTTGCAATGGATTACCAACTAGAATTTTTTTTTAAAAAATGATAA